CCCCGTACACATTCAAATGGCCGCTGCTATACAGGCACACTACGAGCATTCATATGTTGCTTACTGAAATGAAAACATCAATAACTAGATAAATAGTATGTCGTGATGGTGCCTTAGCATATACAAGCTAATCAACAATGATTCTCTTGTTTTTACAAGGGTCCTTGCAACTCCGTAGAGTAAAAAAATATACTTTTTTGGTCAGTGACTTCATTAAGCAAAACCCTCTGTCGAATCCTCCCTTAACTTCCTCTGCCAATCGAAGCTGCCACCACCACCATAAGTGCTCTGGGCCTTCTGGTGAAGCATCAGGTTCAACAGCTTCGAGGTATTGCTTGATTCAGAATTATCACCATGAAAATATTTATCAAAAAAATAAAAAAGAATTATCACCATGAATGATCTGATAATTCTGAATAAGCCTCCTTTGTATCGGCAGAACAAATTGACGTTCACAAATAGTGTTGGTGAATATTCTGGTGATTTTGTAGGAGCCAAGTGATATTCTAGTTTGGTAAAAGTATAGAGGTTTAAAGAGGTTTGACTTCAAAAAGATATTGTAGAGAAAGTGGAGATATTTAGGAGAAGAAATAGAGAAGGAAGGTGGAGAGTTGAGAGAGAATGTGTTTCAAGAATATAAAGAAGTTTAGGAAGATAAATTAGAAAGTAAACCAGGAAAAAACTAAAAAATAACAAGGTGTGGCAACCTTGGTGGTTGTGTTAGTGGGGGATGAGAATATGGTTGGAAGGTGGATTAATGTGATTTAGAATGGATTAATAATGGCAGCGGTGACTAGTGAGTTTGATGGTAGTGTTGATGAGTTGGTGAACTAATTATTGATTTGTGGGAGTCATGATGGTCAGCTTGTGGTAATAGGTGGATAGATGTTCAAGGATTCCACTATTGGTGTATGGTTTGGGGTGGTGCTATTGGGGAGTGCAATGTGGTTGAGATTGGTGCATTGTACATACTGTAGGGTTGTCAATTGGGCTAGCTTGAGTGTGAGATCGTCCTGAAGAAGAAACACTAGTACTAGGCATTGGCTTAGCTTGTCACTAGAACATTCCCACTTCCAAAACTCAGCTCATTATCTTATATAAGTTACTTACTAAAAAGTTTGGGGTAACCCAAATCTATGAAACAAGGAGACATCTATGAGAGATTCTGATTATAATTTTGAACATAAATTAAGAGAAGTATTAAACAAAAATGGTAATCTTGAACTTAGTTTAATGTAACATTTTTATTATACATGAGTCATTTTTAATGTGATGATGGAATGTTTTGTAGGGATGGTGCTCACTTGACTAACCCAGAAATGGTGCTCACTTGACTAACCCACAAAACTCTAACCCAGAAATTCAATTCTTTTCCACAACTATTGATAACCTTCTATGGCAGCTCTTTACCCACAAAACCCTAACCCTTTCCACTTAACTATCACTCTCCAAAAAAAAAGAAAAAGAAAGAGACAGTGGGCAAAACAGAGGACCAAAAATCTGATAAAACATAGAACCAAATCTGAACTTCAACATTCAAAACTAGCACCAAAAATCACAAACCCCATTAAATTCCAAGATCTAAACCACCAAAGCTATGTTGGGAATGTGCTATTATTTGTCTATTCGAAAAAAATGATGACATAGATGATATAGATATATAGATAGATACACATATCTATGTCTATCAATATAGAGAGAGAAAGAAGAGTTTTCTCACTTACCTTTGGCAAATGAGAAGAGTGAGTTCAATCGTCCACGCCGTCCGAACGCCTCCACATCGGTGTTGTCTACTCTTCTTCCTTGCGTCGTTCTCTCTATGTTGTTCTCTTTTCTCTCCAAAGGTATTGGTGTAAAGAGATGGGTTTTGAAGAGTTTTTTATCATAGGGTTTGTTTTGGTACTATATTAGGTGTAATAAGAATTCAATTTTTTTTTAAGTGGTGTAATGAGATGGAGGGTGTAAGGAGGTAAAAAAGTGGTGTAAGTAGAATCACCCATACAAATTTTATAGTCCTACAGGTATACATGTATACACACTTGGATATTGATTATGTGAACATTGATTCTGGATTTTGTGACGTCAAAAAAAGATAAAATCTATATAATAAGGGAGAAGAGTTTTTGAAAATGTCCTATGTGGCAAGAAATTGTCATAGAGATACATTTATAATCAACGGTTCAGATCAATCTTAATCAAAATTTAAGGGCCAAAATCAAAATCTAGCATAGTCTGCCTCTTTGGATTCCTCCTAATGAGTACCAAACACACCTCCCTATCTCTCTCTCACAGTCGTCCTCCTCTCTCTGGTTTTCAAATTTTAATCTCTTCTCTCTGGTTTTTCTCTCTCTCTCTCTCTCTATCTCTTCTACCCACTCTTTGTTCTTGGTTTTATGGCAACTTGGTTGAGATTTGAGTGCACTGTTTGATCAAATGCAAGGTAGATCTATGTTTCTCGGTTCAAATTTTTTATGTGTGTCACTTTGTATGATTGGGTCTCTGAAATATTTAACAGTTAGGGTCTGAAATATTTTCACTATGTCCTGAAAATGATAAATGATTAGGTCTCTGAAATATTTTTGTATGATTGGGTCTCTTTGTATGCCTCAAAATTTTTATGTGATTTGTTTCTCATTTGGGTTTGATTGTGTTTCTCATTTATATTGCCTCAATTAAAATCTGTCTCTTTACCCCTCTATGTTTTGTGTGTGTCTTCATGCATACACCATGTTCGATAAAATGCCTCAATTAAAATAGTGAGTGAATTTATAAAATGTCCGCTGAATAGATAAAATGTATTATGTTTTTCCTTCTAATGTCCGCTGATCTAAGCCATGGTTGATTGCTAAACCCTTCTCCATTTCACTCAATTAAAATAGTGAGCGAATTTATAACATTACAAGCTAAAATGTTCCAAGATTAAAATGCCTCTCTTTTTAATGCTAGCTGCTTATATAATTCTACATTTTTGTTGTTAAAATAGTGAGTGAACTTATTATAACAGGCCAAGGAAGGTTTAGCAAAAATAGAGGTATATTCAAATTGGTGATACAAACAGTGGGAGTTGGATGTTATTTTTAATCTTTAATGGAGTTTGCTTACTTATATTTTCTAATCTTTGGAATGACATAGGCCTGAGATTGAGGCATTTTACTTGAAATTAATCTTCTCTTGTCCAATCTTGGGATTAATCTAGACAAGGATGGCAAGTACAGGAAAACAAGTGTTTTCATTTTTAATCTCAGGTGGCAAACAAGTGTTTTCATTTGGTGATTGTTGGGAGTATGTGTTGAAAATTTAAACCAAAAAGAAAATGTGCATACTAAGGATTGAAAAAAGAAAAGAAAAGAAAAATGAAGATAAACATAGATAAATCTCTTTTTTTTAATTTTTTTTTTTTATTTTGGTGAACACACAGACTAATCTTAGTAACAAAATGCCTTTGTTAATACAATATACGTTGGTAAATTTTGAATTACTTTGGAAATAACTTTGTGCTAAGTTTTGGAATCTCCCATTGTCAAAATAAAAATTGATGTCTAATTGTCTTTTAAATTGGCTTTTCAGGATTTATAAATTTACATTTTATTTAAGAGAAAACTAAAGTTGTAGGTTCTTTTTTCCTCTCTATTTTTGTCTTCTCTTTTTTAACCTCTTGGAATATGAGGACAACAAAATCGTGGTGTAGAGTTTTTGTTGTCCCATTGTTCTTCTTACCTGGTTTAGTTAGTAAAGGAAAACAAGTGTTTTCATTTTTTGTCAAGTACATAATAAAGGTTGTAAAACTAGACAAGGAAATATGCGAAGAAAGTGAGTTGGACTGTGTGTGATGGCAAGTGGTGTTAGACAATTCGAAAGTTTATTACATACTATGTGACATTGATTTGAAAATACTGAACATTAGACATTTTTGCTTTAATCCATCTAATCTAACTTTATTATTATTTTTTAAATTTAATTTTTATTTTTTTTAATTTCAGGTATCGATATTAGAATGGCTATTGAACGACTTTCAAATCCTTTTAACTTTGGCCAATTTTTAGGGCAACAATTTCATTTTTAAAATTGTCTTAGTTGATGTAATTGATGGCTTCTTACAAAAGTACAAAATAAAGAAGAAATAATCTTGGGATTAATTTTCTCCTGTCCAATCTTCTCCTGTCCAATTTTATTACGGGAATACACTATCATCCCAACATTAATCTTCGGATTAATCTTGGGACAAAATGTTTGGAGCTATTGGGATTAATCCCAACATCAATTTTATAGCAACTGTCATCCCAACATTAATCTCAAAATGTTGTCATTGGGGTTTGAAGTAATATTTTCATGTCATAGAGAAGAGATATTATATAAATTTTTCTTTCTTCTTCACAATGTTTTATTGATTTTGCAATGTTTGTTTTAATGATAAAAGCGTTTTCTTTTTCAATGATCTATTGTTTGATTGTTTTACCTATTTCAATAATAGAGGTTTATTTATTTTCTATATTTTAATTAAGGTGTGAATTGTTTTACCTGTTTTAAAATATTATATAAATTTTTCTTTCCTTTCATTTGCCTGAAATTAAAGATTTAAAACTTCCATTGCCTCTTTCTCTCTCTCTCTGATGCTTTTAATTTTATTTTTCGAGTTGTAGGCCCCCATTTGGGTACTCTCTCTCTCTCTCTCTCTCTCTCTCTCTCTCTCTCATGCTTTTGTGTTTTTGTGGATATGTTATGATTTGGTAAACAATTTCATCAATATTTTAACAATATCAATTGATGAGCGGTTCTCTTTTTCCTTTAAAATGAATTGTTTCTTCACTACATAGCCGTGGTGTGTCAACCTCTTAAGCAATTTCGGTGTTCAAATAGTGCACAATATCAATATCAATATTGTGGCCTAATTTTTACTCTTTTTTTTTTTTTTTTTTTCTTTTTTTTTTGGTGGAATCCAAATTTTGTTTTTTGTTATGGCAGTGCATTGGCTGCTTCCCATGAGCAAAACAAATGGATCCAAAAGGGTTGGTTCATATTTTGCTTATGGGAGGATTGAATAGTTAGAGCTATTTGAATATTTTATTTTTTTGTTTTTGATTTTTGCAGCTGTTGTCTATAGCATTTCAATGCACCATGTTAACCCATTAAAGGTATAGTCTTTAATAGGATGCTTGGCTTCCATTAGGAATAAAATTCTTCAATCTATTTTTAGTTTACGAATTTTTTTTAAATTTAATATTGTCATTTCTAAGTTACTGAAAATGATAAATGATAAAATCTCTGAAATATTTTTCTAAAATGGGTCTCCAGAATGCCTCAAAATTTTTATTTGGATTTTCGTTGGGTGTCTAAATTTTATGTGATTTGTTTCTCATTTGGGTTTGATTGTGTTTCTCATTTATATTATGTGATTTGTTTCTTATTTATATTGCCTCAATTAAAATCTGTCTCTGTACCGTTCTATATTTTATGTGTGTCTTCATGCATACACCATGTTCAGTAAAATGCCTCAATGAAAATAGTTTAATTTTTAATGCTAGCTGCTTATATAATTCTACTTTTTTGTAAAATAGTGAGTGAATTTAAATTGGTGATAAGGTTTTAAAAAAATAGAGGTATATTCAAATTGGTGATACAAACAGTGGGAGTTGGATGTTATTTTTAATAATAAACAGTGGCAAATTTTGGACAAGGGATGATGGAGCTTGCTTACTTATATTTTCTAATCTTTGGAATGACATAGGCCTGAGATTGAAACTTTCTAATCTTATATTTACTTATTAAGATCATTTGAAACTTTCATTTGCCGGAGATTAAAAATTTAAAACTTCCACTGCCTCTTTCTCTCTCTCTCTGATGCTTTTAATTTTATTTTTCGAGTTGTAGGCCCCCAAAGTCCATCAAGGACCAAGGTTGAGAGCTGCAAGTTTTCTCTTTTCCAACAACTCTTTTCCAGTAAGTCTTTCCTTTATTCCCATTCTTAGTATTGTTAAATTAAGTTCCATTTGGATACTCTCTCTCTCTCTCTCTCTCTCTCTCTCTCATGTTTTTGTGTTTTTGTGGGTATGCTATGCTTTCTTGCATGTCTTGGGTTCTGTCAATTGATTTGATAAACAATTTCATCAATATTTTAACAATGTCTTCATCAATTGATGAGCAGTTCTCTTTTCCCTTAAAATGAGTTGTTTCTTCACTTCATCAATTGATGATGTCAACCTCTTAAGCAATTTCGGTGTCCAAATAGTGCACAATATCAATATCAATATGATACTCTCTCTCTCTCTCTCTCTCTCTCTCTCTCTCTCTCTCTCTCTCTCTCTCTCATGTTTTTGTGTTTTTGTGGGTATGCTATGCTTTCTTTCATGTCTTGGGTTCTGTCAATTGATTTGATAAACAATTTCATCAATATTTTAACAATGTCTTCATCAATTGATGAGCAGTTCTCTTTTCCCTTAAAATGAGTGGTTTCTTCACTTCATCAATTGATGAGCAGTTCTCTTTTTCCCTTAAAATGAGTTGTTTCTTCACTACATAACCGTGGTGTGTCAACCTCTTAAGCAATTTCGGTGTCCAAATAGTGCACAATATCAATATCAATATTGTGGCCTAATTTTTACTTCTATTTTTTTTTTTATTCCAAATTTTGTTTTTTGTTGTGGCAGTGCGTTGGCTGCTTCCCATGAGCAAACCAAATGGATCCAAAAGGGTTGGTTCATATTTTGCTTATTGGAGGATTTGAATAGTTGGAGCTATTTGAATTTTTTTATTTTTTGCATTTGCTGTCCATAGCATTTCAGTACACCATGTTAACCCATTAAAGGTATCATAATTCTTTAATAGGATGCTTGGCTTTCATTGGGAATAAAATTGTTCAATTTGTTTTAATTTACAATTTTTTTTTTTAAAATTTAACATTGTCATTTCTGAGTTACTGAAAATGATAAATGATAAAAACATATTTACTCATTTCTTATTGCAGAACATTTGTTATGTCATTTGGTTGCTTGGTCTAATTATTAGTTCCCTATTATTTGTCATATGTCATTTTAGCTACCATTTAGCAGGTTTGTTTATGTAGTGTTGATTGAATTTTTTTTCTTCAATTTCTTTATGGATAACTGAAAGAGGAGTGCAGAAAAGTGGGGCATAATTGTTTGTTTCTTTATGGTTTTGATTTCATACAATTTGCAATTTGATTAAGTGAGTAATCAATACGAACAGGTTGTATAAATCGCAAATAGCCATGAATCGTAGGTGAATTGGTGAACCAAATCGGTGAATCGTGAAGTGAATCGATTCGATTCGCTAAAATCGATGTTTGACTTTCTTTTTAGTTTTTTATTGTTGGAAAAGGGTTCACAAAACTTTTTTAAGGTCTTTAGGATTACTATATGCCATCTTTTGACTTTCTCCCTCCCTCTTTTGTTAGTTTTTCATATCTCTTTATCCCCTTAACATTATATCCGTAAGTCAGTGGAGTTTTGTTAGTTTTATTTATAGATTTATTTATTTTTGTTGTTGTTGTTGTTATATATAAATAAGATGAATCTTCTTTTTGAATTTTGCAAACCCTTCAGCTCTTTCACCTATGTTGGACACACACACCTTTTATTGTTGTAGTTTTCTGTCTTTTATTTTTTTTACTTTTTATTTTATCAGGGAACCAGTGTATGCCTGTGCCTAAAGGCATGGTAGAAATAATGTTGGGATTAATCTTTTCCTGTCCAACTCTATGTAGTACATGAAAAATTTATTCATAAAGTAATTTTAGAGAAAATTGTTCCTTTCTTATGGCATCACTGTTATACTTGCCCAAGCTATCAATCTTTCTTGTTCTAATTGAAGAGGTTTGTCACATTTGAATTTCGGCTAACATTTAAAAAGAATATAATCTTAGTGATTGCAATATTAACAAACCATCTCTCATGTCAACTATTGATAGGTAATGTCTAAAAAGAAAAGGCATGGAAAGAAAAATCGTGCATTGCTACTCACCCCCATTGTGCAAAATTAAAGTGTATCAAAACCCAAAATGTATCAAGAAAAATGTATCAATTAGTTAAATAAAATGTATGATTAGCAAAGTCATGAACATATTACACTCAAGTCTCAGTAGTATTAGTTAGTTACAACACTCATTTCACTTTCCTAAGCTTACTTCTCAGACTCTTCATATTACACTTCTCTCTTGCTAATTACAAAGAAAGAGAAAAATAGAAAGTAAAAATCAACAAACAAACAAAAAAATAGAAGAAACTAAACATTAATCAACAAAACCACCTCTCTTTGAGCAATCAGCTAACCCTCCAATCAAGCATATATGTCTATGGATTACACCAATCTGAAAACATCAAGCACTAATTGAAAGTTCTAAACACATTATTAGATTTTAGCTCTTAAACACATTATCAAGCACTAATGTTTATAAATGCCTCCTTTCATCATCAAGCACTAATGATTCAGCAAATATATTTAATTCCTAAAATTGAGAATGTCAATCTTTTAGAGACATGGAATTCAGCACATAGGTAGATAACTTTTCAAGATGCAATTTGTCTCACACCATTTTATTCATTTATCTTCACTTTTTGCCTCCCTCTATCTCTACTCTCCCTCATCCCACACCCACGCACCCTCTCTATTTTTTAATCTATGTAGCAAATATTTTATGCACCCGCTCTTTCTTTGATAACCTTCATAGATATCTTTGGCACCACAATGCAAGGAGTATCCGTTTCAAAAATCTACAAACCACAATCTCAAAAGAAAGATTTCATAAACTCACAACTGAGATCCAATTGAGAGCATTCAACCTATTTAGAAATAATGCAAACAAAAAACAAAAAAACCGCTAATTTTTTTGGTTTTTCCCAAAAACAATAAATAATAATAAAAATAATTAGCAAAGAGAACATTATCCACAAAATAGATAAATTCATAAACTCAACCCAGTCAAGCAAAGGGAAACTTTTTCCTCACCCCAGTCAAAAGTTTAGCAAAGGAGAACTTTTTCCTCAACCAAAAGTTTGATCATTTGATTAATCTCCCCCTCACCTTCCATTCCCTGTGAATTAATAAACACATCAAACACATCAAATAGAGAAACAATTTATCAAGCATTTGGTGAACATTGTAGTAGCAGAAATTATAGTGGTAAAACTAATTATTTTGAACTTCAATTATTGCATACTATACTGAAATCCTTAGAATGGGATGAATAACCATAAATTTAATTAAAATAACAGGAAATAGGTTGTAATTTATTCCAAGTGACATGAGGAAGTTGGTCTTTGAACTATAGAAATCAAGTAAAAGATTAAATCATCAACTTATAACATAATAAAAAATAAAAGCAAAAAAAGGGATGGAATCTTGATTACCTCTATTGATGGAGCCTTTAGAACTATTCTCCTCACCAAATTTTGATGCCTCTGTCACATGTACAAAGCATTAAGAATAAAAACATCAGCCTTACATGAATTGATAATTTCTCTACAACTGATTCCCTGATAAAATAAAAAGTAAAAAAAATAAAAGACAGAAAACTACGACAATAAATGGTGTGTGTGTCCAACATAGGTGAAGTAGCTGAAGGGTTTACAAAATTCAAAAAGAAGATTCATGTTAATTTTATATATAACAACAACAACAACAAAAATAAATAAATCTATAAATAAAACTAACAAAACTCCACTGACTTACGGATATAATGTTAAGGGGATAAAGAGATATGAAAAACTAACAAAAGAGGGAGGGAGAAAGTCAAAAGATGGCATATAGTAATCATAAAGACCTTAAAAAGGTTGTGTGAACCCTTTTCCAACAATAAAAAACTAAAAAGGAAAGTCAAACATTGATTTTAGTGAATCGAATCGATTCACTTCACGATTCACCTACGATTCATGGCTATTTGCGATTTATACAACCTGTTCGTATTGATTACTCACTTAATCAAATCGCAAATCGTATGAAATCAAAACCATAAAGAAACAAACAATTATGCCCCACTTCTCTGCACTCCTCTTTCAGCTATCCATAAAGAAATTGAAGAAAAAAAATTCAATCAACACTACATAAACAAACCTACTAAATGATAGCTAAAATGACATATGACAAATAATAGGGAACTAATAATTAGACCAAGTAACCATATGACATAACAAATGTTCTGCAATAAGAAATGAGTATATATGTGTAGACACCTGTAGACACCCCATTTTTGACCGTCCTCAAGACTTGGACGTCACCGGTGGGGACACTCAGTGATCATCCATGTTCGTGTTCGTTTTGAGTTCCCGGAAGCCTTGGTTGCGCGTCTTGCCTCAAGATCTCTCAACTTGTTCGTCTTGTGTTTGGTTTTGCACCAAATACTTGTGTTTTTGCTTTGAGCGGTAGGGAATGGCTTGTTGGCCATCCCCACACCCCATCGGCCTTCCCTTGGCATCGCCGGCCATTAATTGCTGACACCGGCCATGGTTTCTTAATACGAATGGCCGGTCGACACTCTATATGGTCGGTCGGCTATCTGTTTGGCCGGCAACCTCCTTTTTTGGCTGGTAACACCTTTTTGCCTTCTTCAGGCACGGTGCATGCCAGCTGTGCCAGCTGGAATACACCAAACCTACCCCAGGGCTTACATGTGGCTGTTTTGTCCCTGTTGCCCCCTTTTGGTCAAAGCTTCTTGAGGAAGCTTGACCCTTGTCAAAGCTTCCTCAAGAAGCTTGGCCAGCTGTCTTAGCTTCCTCAAGAAGCCTGGCCAGCTGTCTTAGCTTCCTCAAGAAGCCTTGACCTCCTTGCCCCCTTTGCCCCCTTTTACTTAGCTTCTTTGAGAAGCTTAGAACCATTTCTTTTGCCTATATAAGGACCTCTCCTCCTCCATTGTTAAAGGTTAGCAAAAAAACAAAAAAGACAGAGCTTATACATATATTCTGATATATATATATATATATATCCTC